TCTCTCTCTCTCTCTCTCTCTCTGCTGCAAAACAGGCGGCAACACTAATCAGGGCAACACCATACACGAATTGGGTACGAACAACATTAATAGCCAGCCGACAGACACTAAAGTGATCGAGCACACCACAGGCAACGAAGTACTCATCATGAATACGAGCGACGACGATCGAACGGCGAGCTTCTTTGCCCAGCCGGGCATCTTGGCAGGTGAGTGGGCGCTTAAATTTTGCAGCAGGCACTTAAAATGTGGACTTTAAAATACTCTTAATGTGCTCTTTCGCTTTTCTCTTCCAGCTGTCATCGGTGGCGCTGTCGTCGGTCTGCTGTGTGCCATTCTCGTCGTCATGTTCATCGTTTACCGCATGCGGAAAAAGGACGAAGGCTCCTATGCACTCGATGAACCCAAACGCTCGCCGGCGGTCAATTCCTATGCGAAAAACGCGAATAACCGTGAATTTTATGCCTGAGATAATTCCCAACGTTACTAGAGAGAGTGAAGGCGGCAGGCGATGGCAGAGAAGGAGATAAAGTGATGGCAGCAAACTCTTTGGGAAATAGAAAGCGCCGAAGCAGAAAGAAAGTGAAGAAAGAGAATATAAATAATGAAAATAAGCGAATAAGTAAATAGTGAATAGTGAAAAATTAAAAAAAAAAACAAAAACAAATAAAACAGAGAGCAGCAGCAAGAAGCAGTACGAAACTAAAGGATAACGAAAGTTTGAGAGTTTTTTAAGGATTTTGAAGTTTCTCGTTTCGTATGTATTTAGATCATGTGTACTGCAGCAGGGCTTAAAGTTTAAATTGAGTTACACACACACACACAACAACACAAAAAGCAAAATTATGTAGTTATGAAGAACTCAATTAAGTGGAGAGTTTTTTTGTCGGCTTACAAAAAAGTTGAAGGTTCGTTGAGAAAACAGATGAAATGAAAAATTCAACTATTTTCTAATTTGTAACAATTAAGTTATTTACAGTTAAGTAACGCAAACAATAACAACAACAAAAATGAAAAGCAAAAGCAAATGAAAACTAATGAAAATAAGAAAAAGAATTATTTGTATGTAAACAGTCACAGGCGATGAAAGTGCGTGGAAAAATATCAAATTTAGTTTAAATATTTTCTTTTTTTTTTAATATTGCAAAAATTATGAAAATATACAAATTGAAAGTAATTAATATGAGTATACATAGACTAAGCAAACATAATATGAAGAAAAAAATTGAAAAAACATAAATTAAATTGTACTAAGAAAGAAGTTAGACACATTTACAAAAAAACAACAAATGTGTGAAAAATATGCGTAAATGGTAAATGAACATAAACAAATACTTTATAAGGGCGGGACACTTTTCATAAATGTAGCGAAATTTAAATACAAAGCGAAAAATAATAATTCAAAAACAAACACACACACACACTACCTAAAACAAATACAACAACAGCAGCTCACACAGAAACACACATGCCGTGCTAGACATACACACACACACACACACCTATTTAATAATTTAAGTGAATATATATGTGAATGTGTGTGTTAAAGTCAACACTCGAAATCATAAGTAAATAATAAAAAAGTATAAATGTAAAATTTTAGTACTGAAAAAAATTAAAAAAATATATAAGTAAAATTATAAGTATTTATAGGAAAATAAAATAATAATATTGAATAAATTAATAATAAAATTTTAAAAAGTTAATATAAACATATAAAAAAAAGAATTATAAAATAAAATTATTTATATGTATATTGAAAAAAAAATACATTTAAAAAGTATTAAAATGAAAAAATAAAATAAATAATATAAAAACTAAAATGACGTATATTAAAATAAAAGCAAATAATAAAATATAATTAAATAATACGCAATGAAATAAAAAATAATAATAAAAAATAAGTAAAAGAAAATAAAATTTGAATAAATAAAACTTAAAATAAAAAAAGTTAAATAAATTAAATTATAAATGAAACTAATTAAAAAGTTAGACTAAAATAATTTCCATAAAGCAAAATAATATTATATTAAATATCATAAAATGGCATAAAATAAAATTAAGTAAAGTAAAATAAAAAGAAATAAAGTAAAATAAAAAATTAAATTGAATAAAGAATTAAAAAAATATGTATTTGACCACCTTGAAAATAAATTAATTTAAAAAAAAACAACAACTTAACCAACTAATTTTTTTTTTTTTTTTTGTAACGACAAACAGCAAATTGGATTTCTTCAACTTATGTAAAACAAAAAACTATCTACTGTTAACAGTATCAAAGTAAAAAGTCGCACATCGTAACTATAAAACAGAAAATTAAAAAATCCAGACTTTTTTTTATTAAACTTAAAAAACTAAATATAATAAAACGACAAATTTTTAATAAAATGAAAAAACCTTCCCAACTTCCATTTGGCATTAAATGACAAATATTGGAGTGACGAAGATGGGCATATAAAAATAAGTGTTCCATTGCTTAAAAAAATATATCATTAGGTTTGTTTGGACAAGTCATATTTTTAAAGGCACGCATTTTTTGGCATTCCCATGCTTAATGTAAATCAGGCATAAGGCACTGTGCGCCATAAAAAGTGTTCATAAGTTAGGAACAAAAATTAAAAAAAAAATATTTCATGCTTTGAGCCAACTTTTCAACCTAAAAATTCACTATCCATTTTTTCTAATTTTCAATACAAAAAATTGATTTTTTCAATATCGTAATTTACAAGCTGAAATGTACATATCGATGGTCCTCTGCAATAACACAATTCATATTTCAAAAAATAAAAACTTCTGTTAAGTGGCTCATGTCTCTATACTTACTAAAAATAAATAATAAGAATTTCTAAAGTTAGCAGGAAGGATGAGGACATTTTTTAATTTTGAATTGTGTCGTTATTGCTGAAGACCAGCTACATGTACCATTTTTTTGCTTCTCGTCAGTATCTACACCAAAAGTGTGTTATTTCACAAATCCTAGCTCACGAACACAATTTCAAGTCAATCACTCTGGCGCACAGTGTGTCACAATAAATAAAAAGTTTAATAAAAATTAAATAATTCCAACAAAATTTGTATAACCAGCAAAAAAATACAAGAAAATTAAATAATACTTATGAAAAGTGTATAATTTTTGTATGAGAAAATTATAATACTTTTCAAGCAGAAACTAATTAAGAACAAAACTGAAATACAAAAAATTAAGGTGAAGTAAAAAATCAAACAAATTGACTAAAATAAGTACATAAATTAAACTTAATTAAATAAAACAAAGTCTTGTTATAACAAAAGTATATAAAGTATAAAAAAAAATTAAAATAAGTTACAAAACCCCCATAAAAAAAATAGAATAACAAAAATGTATTATTAATAACACAGATGTCGTCTACTATTATATACTAGAATTGATACTAAAAATAAATATGTAGTTTTAATGTGCATATAACGATATGTAAGTGAAATTATTATTATTCAAGAAAATAATAATGAACGAACATTTTTTCTATAACTATTTACTCTTACAATTATGATTGCTATGTATAAACAAATAATTATGATTATCAAAAGTTTTCGATGTATAAGTAAGTTTTTTTCTATTAACTTTTATACAATATTATACTTTTTTACAGATAAATCTATATATACTTTAATTAATTTTTTATTTGTAACACATTTATAATTTGCTGAATACTAAGTAAAAAATAACTATTAGTTTGAATAAGTACAGTGTTGATGAAAGCAAAAAAGGAAAGCAGAAACCAAGAAGTGCAGCTAAGAAAAACGCAAAAGTTTTCTAATGATTTTTTTTTTTTTTTTATTTGAGGGCAAATAGAGCAACTAAAACAACTTAAACGGTATTCTTTCGGAAAAAATTGTTTAATTTGAAAGTATAATATAAAAGCCCGCTGTCGAAAAAAGTAAAAAAAAAAATAGATTACTGCCTAAACTAACACACTGTTGCCATGAGAGTAAAAAATCGCCATTTAAAAGTGAAAAAACCACCATGAAAAAAATCAATATTTCTTACAAAAATTTATTAGATAAATATTTTTTCTTCTTTCACACCTTTTTGTTATTTTTTATTATGGCTTGCGAACTCTTTAATTTGCCAACGCGACTAATAGCATTTTCATATTCGCAAGCATAAAATTTAATTGTCCTACACGCTTGTTGTGTTACTTATAACTGAACATATTTTAGCTTTTTTGTTACATTTTCAATAAAAAATATTGTAAAAAATATTAAGTGTCAATTGTAAATCAAACTACCGTATTTTACAAATAAAATCAAAATAGTTTACATTTTCTCTTCACATATATGCCTTTCTTTAGTTAATTAACTTGTAACTGTACTCAAATTAATAAACGAAAAATTTTATTTAATTAATAATTTTATTTATTTTTTATTAATTCGTAAAACCGTAGTGCCCGAATATTAATGTTAGTACATAATACGATTTATATTTTTCGTGTTTTTCTTTCAAGTACCTACATGCATTTAATTAAACAGCGTAGAGACATACATTGTTTAACTTTGCAGCTTATTCAAAAAAATTTTAGTTAATTAAGTTTTTTTTTTTGCCATCGAATCGATTTAAAAGTTTGGATTTAGTATTTGATTTTGCATTAAAACGCCTAAGTTGAATTACCACACCGAGCACCGTTTAACGAGCAACGGCAACGCCTAAAATTAGGCTTTCGAAGTTAACTTTAATATTTTCCGAATACCCAAAGCATTAGACACAAAGCAGTAAGAATAATGAAAGGGTGATTTCAGTAAAGCGAATTTCAAAATTTCGTCACTCCACACTCGGTGTGGGAGAAGTGTATACTTATAGGCTGAAGAAAAAAGTATTTATCAGAAATCGCTACGCTAAATTTCAATTGCCAAAAATCTCTTAATGAACAACAAATATTCGTAAAAATATGCAACACTAAAGCCCAACAGGTGCAATATTAAATCTGAGGATGTTGCATATTTTTGGGCATAATTGCTATACATTTGGAGGCTTTTCAATGAGCCGGAGTATATTCAGGAAAATAAAAGCATGGACATATACAGCGAGCCCTAAAAGTATGCAATTTATTTTCGAATGCATTATAACTATTTAAAATATAAAAAATCAATCACTGGAATGACAAAAGCAATTTTATAGCTCAAAAGTGGTAATGACTTATTTTGCAAAATAAATGATTAATTTCACTAAAATATATTTTTAATTTAAAAAACGTATGTATATTTTTTCCACTTAAACAAAATTTTTTTTTTGTGTTTGTAATTCTTGTTTTGTTTTTTTTTTTTTTTTTTTTCTTAAGACCTACATAATACATAAACATATAGTTGCCTTTATTTTGCAATAAATTTCTATATGCATATACACCTCTAGTTTTTATTTAGTTTAACCAGCAAATAATCAAAATATTCATCATAAAATTAGCCTAATTAAAATTAAGTGTCTCCGCTCCTTGCTTACTTAATAAAACAAAAAAAAAATATAAATTTCTGTATGCACCGTGCAATTTAAAAATGAATTAAATTATTAAAAAAAAAAAACCTTAAAACAAAAAGTTACTGCCGCTAAATTGCATACTTTTGCGCAACTATGAACGCCGAAACTTTTTTAAAGAAATAATAAAAAAACGCATTTTCTAAAGAAAAAGAAATCATTTACGCTAGAAGAAAAAGAGCGAAACTACATACTACAGTAGCGTTAATATTTTTTAAGTGCTACAATTTCTAAATATTTAACAAAAAAAAAACAACACATAAATACATACATATCGGTATGCCAGATTAGGTGTTTACAAGCACATACATACATACACTTAAATGCAAGCAATAATTTGTGTACTAAGTAGTGCAAGTAAAAACAACATTCAGCAATATTTTATGCTTTTCTACACAGCAAAAAATGCATAGGCTTGCTTCAGTTTTTTTTTTTTTTTTTTTTTTTTTTTTTTCATTCAAAGGAAAGAAAAACATCATTAAAAAATAAATAAACTAAAAATGCCATAAGACACAAGCAACTCAAGAAAACTTGTCAACAAACGAAACCACACTTCTCGAAACACACAACATTCAAACACTTGAGAACACTGCATACACTGTAAAAAATTCATTTAAGAACTGTGTTTGAGGTGTCTATTGGGGAATAACAAAAAAATGGAATATTATTTTATAGTAATAATAAAAATAACAACAAGAATGTAATAACTAAAAAGAGAACTTACATAAAATTAAAATTTAAAATAAAGCATAACAAATAACAATTAGAAAAGTGTCCTCTACTACGCATACACAGCCGTAAATTTGCATACATATTCACTTCATACATATGTACACACAAACATGCATAAATCCATACATGCTTGTCAAATATGTATGCATCACTGTAAATTACTTATGTAACACAAATCGTCTGAAAAATGAAATCAATTTCCACCACAAGCGTGTGATTTTGCGCTAAAACTGTTTTTTAAACTTTTTTTTTCAACCCTCGAAATTTTTTAACAAGCTGCTCTTCTTGCAAATAAAAAACAAAAACAAATTTAAGCTTACTTATTTACAACTCTGAAAAATAAA